TTATTTGAAAAAGGTGGTCTAACATTTTAGATTGTTAGTGGATATGGAGATGAAAGTTAACCTCTGGTATGTATGTATCCAACACTTTTTGTTTTAAAAAGAGAAGTTCAGTACTTGAGAAACATCCATGACATATTTTTATACCAGTTTTAGTTAATTTTTTCAGTTTTCTGTATAGATCAAAAAATGGCCATACGAGTGCTACAGACTTGTTGGAACAGAGTTGTCAGTATCTGTTACTGATTTTGTATTTTGCTGCTTTGAACAAGTGTTTTCCCCCAAGGTTTTTCATTCTCTCTAATATTAAGGGGGAAAATTCTCATGACCGGTGTTTAATCTCAGCAAGACAGAAAGCTTTAGGATGAAAATGTATAATTCCAAGTTGTAGATGGCTAGCATACAAGAACACAAAGTTGAGTCTGTCTGTTTACTGGCTTACTCATCTTTTTGAATGGTAATTTAGACTTCCAACTGTTTTGAGTTGAGATTCAGCCCTTTAATTACATATGTTTATGTATAGTAGAAAACTTGAAGACATTATGCTAGAGTTTTCTCTACTCTTGGTAATGACCCAAATATCACTCCAGTGTTGGGAGCCAACTCACAGTAGCCAGTTTCACTTGTTCTGTGCTCTTGTAGTTTCCAAACTATTTTCTCTGTCTAAAACTACTGCATTTTTTCCAGTAATTAGTAGAAAAATATTTTGATAATTAGCAGTAACTGTGTATTAGAGTACTTATTCATCTTAATAGATTTCTTTTTTCTAGCTGTAGGTGAAAGACACTCACAAACAAGTTGCTATCATTACAGGAATGTTGTTTATCCCATACGTTTGTTGTGTGTAGCAGCCCGTGAAGCATGTGGGTGTACTAAATATCAGCAGATTTTAGTTACCTTTATCTACTGGAGATGGATGGGTAGCATGCTACTTTTAGAAATGCAATGGTCCTCTACTTCTTTCTGGGACTCTTTCTTCAAAAGGGAGTGATATGAGCATATTAAATGTTAACTTTCCATAAGGAAATGGAATGTTTAGCCACTTAAAACATTTTAAAAGCTCATTAAGTTTTGCTAGATTTTATTTTTCTATAGCATTCTTCAGTGAGAGTGGACTGGCTTTTTTTTTTTTTTTATGTTTTCAGCACCATTTTAAAATGCTAAGGTGTTTTTTATTGCATCTAATTAATAATCTGTAATGAAAACTCAGAATAAATGCTCTTGATATCTACAGAATAACCTAGTATATGCATCCATATGTTTTGTTCTTTTTAATAATGCACATCATCACTTTGAGGACTGTCTGAAAAATTAATATAGGTAATAATACATCTATTTATTATATCTAGATTTACGTAATGTGCAAGCTTATATATATTACACTATAAGATGTACTGTATTTATAGGTAAAGATGATATTATACATAGCATTTGGTCATAGGCAGGCTTAATACTGTTAGTACCAATTTTTGTGTGCTTGAGTTGGCAAACTTAATACCATTTTAATTGATGCTTTTTTGTATGTATTTGCAATCAGAAAGTGAGTGGTGAAATAAAAAATCTTTGGCTCCATTGCAGGGAATGGAGAGGATATGCTTTTTAATTGGTACAGATTTTTCTGCAGGTTTGACTCTGTACCTCCTCTATTTCAGATTGTCCTAACACAATCACATCATTTTTGTGTCCCTGGCAGCTTGTTTTGCCTTCATCCTAAATTAACTACTCTAATTTAGGTATACTCTAGCTATCCCTCAAGTTTTTCTTTCTCACACAGGTTCCTGTCTTTTTCCTGTCCCTTTTTCCACTCTTCTCCCCTTATTCCCTAGTCTTTTTTTCCCAACATCTCTTCTGTTAATAACTTGCTGTATGTTGTCTTTCTGTATTGGATTTTGCCTTAACAAGGTAGTTTCTTTTTCGTATTATCTGAGGAATAGGATGAGGCTTTATGAATATAGGAGAAGGAACTTTGCATTTAGCAGGTGTAGAGGCAGGAGATAGCTGTAGCCTCTGCATTATACCACATACATAGATTTTAAATGATTTTATGCTTTAGTAATTGTTATTGTAGTTTTTTACCCTCCTTCCACTACACTCTAATCCCTCCCACATGTAGTGTGGCCAGATGCTTTGCATTTCGCAGGAATACTAAAAGGATATCAAAGGTCTTGATTTGCCAAGTTTTAAGTCTCGTCTCCAAAAAGTAGTGTTTCCAGCAGTGTGCAGCTTTAGGCAGACACCCAGCAAAGAAAATTTTTTTTGTCAGGAGTAAAATGAGATAATCTTAGAGCAGACAATGCTTCTAGTCTCTTCTGTTATAAACGTAGCCCCACACATTCTTTAGAACTAAAGCTGATGAAGTTGAGGAAATAAATAGCCTGCTAACCCTAGACTTAACCATTATTGTAATCATAACTTGGCCTTCAATTGTATCCCTGAAGATGGGGATTTCTTTGATCTCATGAGTAATATTTGCACCCAGCTACAAGCCTGGTTAAGTATCCTAAGTAATGCAACTTTATCATACTCTCCAAGTTCCCATAAATTGCTTCTGCCATCCTTGTTTCTCTTCGAGCTTTTTGTGTTAAATTCCCCTTTCCTGTGGCCATCCTGCTGTAGCTCTTTCCTCTAAACATTGAGGATGTCCATCATACCATCCAACACCTACCTGAGTTTATAAAAGCAGTGAGGCTGGGTTACTGTTTCTCTTTTGAGTTTCCAGAGTGTACACAGGATTGTTAAATGTCCTTGACCAGTGAGCAGTCTGACTTAATTAAAATTTATAGGTGTATGGTAAATGTATAGGTTTGTGAATTAAGGAATACACACCTGTGTAGCGCAAAATTTACTTAATTCCTCTTTTGTGTTTTTATATATGTGTATGTCAAGCTTCTGAGGTGTTCTGCTAAGCTGCAGGAAAAAATCCTATCAACAGATGTATCCACTTTCCACTCTTCTTTTCTTTTTCTAATAAAAAATTGCAGTATGCATGAAAGTTCTTAAGTTAAGGTGTTCTCAGAAAGAGCCCCCTGATACTTGTTCTTTAATGCCTACGTTAAGGATATTCGAGTACAAATAAGTCTGCTGATGTTTGCTGTGGCTTTGTATGGCCTGGAGACAGAGGCCATTTCTTAGATAATCGTGTCCCAAATAGTTGAGGTGTTCAGGCATACAAAGCAATCCCTTCAACTAGGGCCTTAATAAGCTCATTATGAGCTAGTAATATTATAGAGAATTGCTTTAATATATTTTCAGTATGCAGCTTCATTTCAGAAGGTCAGCTATGAGTATGCATCTTGTACAATTAGCACCAGTAACAAAAGCATAAGAGAGAAGGTAAAAACAGGGTAGAGGGTACTTCTGTGTGTTGGGTGTTTAGATACAGTCCCTTAGAAAATATTTAAAATCTATTCCTTTAAAATTGTGCATGACAGTTGAAGTTTCAGGACCCTGAATTTGTGAATAAAAAATACATCAAAGTAATATAATTTATTTCTGTGAATAAACAGCATGGCTTGTGAAGTGGTACATGTCATGTAACATGAATTCTTGTAAAGCGCTGAATTAACTGTAGTAAATAAAATACAATTCACCAGGAATAAGTGCAGGGTTTTCTGCTAAAGAATAGTTAACTACATCAGCAAAAGGTGTGGGTCAACTGGTAGGTGATAGCTTTACCAAAGGAATCTACAGTGAATCCTAAGTGAACAGGAATTCTGTTGCTGTATTCATTATTGCTTGATTTGTCAACCTGATAAATAATTTTAATTCACACATTTGATCTGAATCAGCTTTGAGCAAGTGACAGCATTCCAGAACATAAGATAGGATCTTTGTCTATTTTGTGGTCGCTGCAGGAAAATAAATTACGCTTTTGACAGAGTAACCTTAACTTCACAAAGAAGTTTAAATATATTTGCATGAATGAAGAGTTCTAGTAGGTCAGTGTTTTGCAGATGTTCTGTATAGTGCAGTATGCTACACTGTAAAACACAGCCTCACTGAATCATTGCCTGAATTACTGGCTTTGTGGTCTTATGACAAGGGAGTAATAGGCAGTCTACTGTATGTCTAGAATTGTGTGACAGGGAAGATCTTGGATCTGAAAGCACAACCTGTGAGAACAGATTGGTTGAACTGATTTAGGCCAGAGAAGACTGACGAGGGATACAGTGTTCAAATGTCTAACAGGGATAGCTGCTGAGAAGATAGAAGAAATTAGTCAATAGGGTAAGAAACAATATGCTTAAATTATAGGAACAGTTGCATTAAGTACTAGTAAAAATATTTCAACTATGAAAATAATTTCTTTCCTTTATAGTTGGACAGAATAGTTTGCTGGCAGAGATTTTGAAATTCCTGCTTCTTAGAGATTGTAGAAATAGTTTAGAGAAATACTTTCAAGAAATAGCATATGTTGACTTGGTTCTGCCCTGGGACACAAAGACAACTAAATAATACCCTGGGGCAGCCCCACTGGGTGTGCATGGAGGGTTATTCTATGTTTACTAGTTGTAGTAGTTTCAATATCTGAATTTTGTCAGATAGGATATTTTGCAATAAACCTAATCCTGAAGTGACAGTACCATAGGTAATTGTGGCATGGTTACCATTGAAGTGAAAATGTCATACTCCTCTTGCCAGGTACAGATGGAAAAATGTGCCTGTGGCTACTGCTGTTACCTTGGCATACTAGAGCAATCCCTGATCTAATACTCTTCTTACCCTGATGACACAGACCTAGTTTGCAAATGGAATCACACTCTGTATTGGCAACAATGCAAGTTCCATCAATTCCTGTGACTGCTATCTTTACCTTATGATTTTTGCTTGCTACCTTTTGTTCAAACCAGTGGTTATAGTACTATTCTGTATTTCCTAATATGTGCTCAATACATGCTGGATAGGTGTACATAAGCTATATGTGTTTTATCAAAATAATGTTATTTGCTTGTCACCTGTTAACTGGCAATGTATAAGAGAGGCAATGTCATGTATTTTTCTAGAATGTCAGCTGATGAAAACAGAGCGACCAAAGCCAAACACATTCATTATCAGATGTCTTCAATGGACCACTGTCATAGAGAGGACATTCCACGTAGACACTCCAGAGGAACGGTGAGAATTTGACTTCTGATTTGCTTTCTGTGTTCTGTATGTGGAAGCCTCAGCACAGTCTCTGCTGGGATTGCACAGTGGTCAGCACTTGAAACTGTGACATTCTGAGTACATCTGAACAGTTGTTTGAAGAATTTATAAGTCAGCTCCTGTAAAATACCTGAGCTTATAGCTAGCATAAGAGTTGCCTGCAAGTAGGTAGGATGATTGTTCAAATAAGCTAAAACTATGCCATGATATGTTTCTTAAGTGTTACATTTTGAACAATGGAAGCCTGCATTGAAGTATTTTCCAACCTTGCTGTCTTAAATTTTCCTTTACTCCATCTAATGTGCTTCTTTTTTTTGGTACAGAAAGCAATATGTTTGTTACAATGCATTTTATGTTTGCTTATTAATTTTTCTTCTTTCAGTAAACACACACAAACTCTTAAGAATTAGTTGTTGTTTTTTTTTTATGCACCAAAAGCATGTAGGAGATAGAGGATGGTGTACCTTGCTAAAGTGTGCTGTACTGTGTTGCTGCCTAGATGCACTGGGTGTTACCACTGTAAGCATCTGTCCTGCTGAGACTAATGCTGTGATTTGGCCTTATTGTTTGTATCAATTCATAACTAACAACTTTGCTTTTTCTGTTTTTTCCCCTTCCATTAGTATAATTGCCTAGATTTATACTGTTTCTCCACCTTACCTTTCTTCTATGTATGCAGCATAGTACCCCTTGCTGCATTCAGTAGCACTGCCAGCCTTTTCCTGTATCCCTTGCTGGCTGAGCAAATAGCAGTAGGTGTATTGCCCATGTAATGGGGCTGTGGTGTGCTGATGGGCTGGCTGGTGGATCTATGCAGGTTAGTCAGTGCACAGAATAGCCACAGGCTTACCTGCCTCTGCTTGTTGCTCCATGGAAACCCTTATTTGGGTCTTCCCCTCCATGCAGCCACTGTTTTTTATGACACTTTTAGGAATTTAATTCTTTGAGGGCCTCTTTCTCAGGGAAACTTGGAATTAGCCAACAAGTTGAGTTTTAAGAGGAGACAAAGAGTTGAATGCATGGTGTGGTTTAATAAATCTTATTTATTTTTTGTGAGAATGTCACACAGGGAGGAGGAATCCCCAGAAGTCTCTTAAAATAGCAAGTTATTACCAGATAATATCGCATAGGAGAAGACATTCTATGTTCTGAGCTGTATTATACCTGGAGCAAGTGTTTTCAAGTTTTCACTCTTAAAATGTTTACAAAATCAGACACTGGTTATCCTGTAAATTAGTCATGCAGTGATTCTTTTTGATGCTGGTGAACTTCACCACCTTTAACATAATACGGAATTTGGAAGGAAATTGAAGTGATGAAATTATGAGTCTTCTGCTGTGTAACATGAAAATTGAACATTGAAGCAATGTAGCATGTAAAAAGCATTATAAACCATTTATTTGGATATATGTTATGAGTTTCTAATAGAGATGTTGGTTTGTTTATGATAGGGAAGAATGGACAGAAGCAATCCAGGCTGTAGCTGACAGACTTCAGAGGCAAGAAGAGGAGAGGATGAGCTGTAGTCCAACTTCACAGATAGACAATATAGGAGAAGAAGAGATGGATGCTTCAACAACCCATCATAAAAGAAAGGTAACAACATTAAAAAAATAACTGACAAGACTGATGCATAAATAACTTTTGGTCTAGTTGTGTGAAACAATGTACAGGGAACAGTGTTTCCACATAAATTTAAGTGTATTGAAAGTACTTACATAGTCCATGTGCACAAAAAGCACTTATTTGTTGTATTTCAATAAAACTGAACTGTTCTAGTTTTATTTATTTGTTATGCTGTCTGATGCAGCACTTCTGAAAAACAAAGTTCACCTGTTCAGGCGTATGTTAACATTCTGGTCATTGTTTGAACATTATTTTGGTCTTTCCTTTTTTGTTTGTTTATCCTTTTAGAAGTCTGGTAATAAAGTATTTTCTTTAGACAAGCAGATTTGCCCCCTTTTTCATGCAAGTAATAACCAGTACAAATTAGATAATTTGCATGAGGCAGGCTAGCAGCATTTGGCTTTTAATGACCTTGTTTTTTGATATCTGTGAAAATAACTGCTTTAGTTTTCAATGAAGTTAGAGAAAATAATGGTTTATTTTTTTGCAGTCCTTCACAGGTTTGCTCTAAGTGGGAATATGTACATTTGTAGTTTCATCGCCAGAGACAACAGGATAAAAACACAACTAAGAGCACATTTTAAAGATTCAGTGCCACAGAATAATTTGCTTATTATTTTATGTTTCTATTTTACCTTGTATTTCCTTAAGTACAAAATGCTTAAAGAATGGATCATTTAAATGGGTGTCTCTCATTTATTATACAGAATTGAGAGAACTCAAGAAATGCATTGAAATTGCATGAGAAATAATAAGCTGTTTCTGTAGGACTGGGTTCATTCTTTCTAGCTAGAAGTGAAACCAGTAGTGGAAGTCGGCTGACAGAACAAAACAGTCTTATAGCTAATGTAACTAAATGCCTCTGAATGATGAAAAATGAAAATAGTTCATAGAGCATAGAGCATGTTTTGTTCATTGCACTACATGAAGTGAGAGTAATAGAAAAATCAGTGGCTGAAAACTCTGTCCTTATGAGTATAACAAAGGTGTGATAGGAAATCTTAGTTCTGTCCTAACTTTTCAGAACTTGAGTTTGCAGTACAAACGTTTTTTCATGCTGTTTCGTTGTATACAAATTTTCAACCTTTTCCACTTAAGAAAAAGGTAAAAACTATTTATATGCAGCTGTAACAACACAGTCATCGTACATTGTCAGGTTGGCATTGAGCTTTTAGCCTTGCAGCATAGATGTTTAATGTCTGGGCTCCAGGGTTAAATATGTAAGTGACAGCAAGACAGAGGCAGCGTTTGAGATGTGTCAGTCTTTCTAACGGGCAGTGTGATTAGGTGGAAAGGGATTTGGGTTTGCTTTAGTCAGTATCTGAGCGTTTTTCCAAGCCTGTATATCCTCTGGAGTACAAACCCACTGCATAAAGCCAAGCATTTTCAAAGTGTCAAAATTAAGGCTTTCTAATATAAGTAGTTGATCTGGAATGTATACTTTCCTTGTTCACACTGTAGTGCATTTTCCTATACAACAAAAGGGGTTGTGGGAACAGGAGAAGGAGGAAGACTTTTTTTTCTGTCTTGCTGGTTATGCTTTAAGAAATGCTGAAATACAATGTTGGGAAATAAGTGCATGTGTGGTGCTGCAGAATATTTTAATGGCTTTGGCAATAAGCCAAAAGCAAGCTCTACAAAGCAAAGGTGACATGGAAAATGCTGATATTCAACACATGGTAATAGAACAGAATGGAGTTTTTGTAGCCAGTGAAGAGCATACTGATGACAGTAAGGGTATTTTTTTTTGCCAAAACTCAAAATCCCACTGCAGATTGCTGACTGTTGGAAGACTCAGGCAAAAAGTTCTCAGAAGTTTTTTGTAATAAAAAATATTAAGTGACCATAATGTTGTGGAGTTGTCACTACTCCCTCTGTGTTAATTGAACTTGGGAAAATGTATTTTTTAGAACCATATCTGTTTTGTAGAAATGTTTCTGAAAGCTTCTATTTAAGCTTTTGTAGTTGCTAATATAATCAGAACCATTTCAATTATAATGACTTAATGCGTTTTTATTGCTTTTTTGGGTGTTGGAGTTCTTTTCACTTCAGGGTTTTTTTGCAAAATGCGTCCTACAAGCTTGTTTTGTCACCTGATTTTACATCTAAGCCCAGTGAATTTTACTTGTGCATGCACCAGATGGTATACATATGAGTAGAAGAGCGTAATCAGATTAAGAAACAAGACAGAGAGGAGTGGGCATGTTCTTCTCTAAAAAGGTAGCAAAAGGTTTGCAAAGAAAACAGTCTTTAGGATGTGGAACTTGATCTGAACAGACATGACAGCCAAGTCTCTGGCCAGATTAACTGGAAGAACCAAAAGCACTTTTTTTTTTTTTTAATTCTTGTTTTTTTGGCAACCTGTCTTATTGGTGTCAATGTGCCACTTAAGTTTTACAGTAATAGCATCACTAAAATTCAGAGGACTGAAAATTTTTAGTGAACTGCTTTTATTTGTTGCAATACTGTTCCTTATACGTAGAGTTTCTTCCTGATGAAGTGAGATGAAAGTTCCAAGTAGTAAAATCTTTGTGCAAATCAGGAATCTTAAAAAATTGGTTCGATAGGAATTTGCATCACCTGTAGTAGGGTGTATTCTTTTGAACAGATCATCCATAAGGGAATCAATAGGCTTTACAGAAGGCTCAATATCATATGGTTCTTTGGATACTGCAGTTTCCTGTAGCTTCATTGCTTTTCCTTTCTTCACAAATTCATTTTGCAGGGAGCAGGATGAGTAATCAATAGATTTTTAGAGGAAACAAAAAAAATATGTAATGAGGAAAAAGATTCAGTCCTCAGAGTTCAGTAGGAATGAAGCAGGTGGGGAAATGATATAAAAGAAAGAATCCAATCTTAGGGGGCCTCCAAACTTGCTTACCAACATCCTTCAATCATAGGAAGTATTTCCATTTTTCCACCAGTTTTCAGTACACCCTTAACTATGACATCTGTGTTTTTATCTCCCAAGGTCTTGTGTTCTTTGGCAGACTTTTTGAGTTACCCTGCACTTTGTACCATCTCTAAGCCTTCTGCTAAGGTTCTAAAGAATGAGAGCATCAGGAAGCTTAATTCTTAGAGGTAGCTTAGTGCTAGCTCTACTGCTGTAACTTGCTGATAAGCCATACCTCAAAATCTTGCAAACCTATTACCTTCCTTTTTTAAGTATGCATATATTTTTAAACTTGTTTTCTCTGAGCTTGCAGCTAGATTCATGATTGCTTTGATGAACATTATGTAAGCAAATTTTGGGCGAATATGTCTTTCAATTTTACTGGCTTGCTGCCCTTAGCATAAAACCCATGTCTGTGAGTAGTCAATCCAAGATCCTTCTTCTGTGTGCGGGCAAAGGGCTGCTTATCTTAGCAGGTTTTATTCAGCCTCTGATGGTCCAGGCTTCTAAAAAAGATCAGAAGTATGGGAAGAAGTTACCACCTTGAGGCTGCTTATGATGCCATAAATCTTTGACTGTCAGAAGTTTTAAATTGTTGGGGAATGCAGTTGCTTTTGACTGAAGGTACAGAGGATTCTGCTCTGAAATACTCATCTTCTGCCTGAATTGTGTTTCAAATGCATTTTGTATTTTTCACGTGCTTTTATCAGTTTTCACTCTATAAGCAGAAAGGCAGTAGTTTGTGCCTCATGGTCATCACAGGACTCAGAGTAAATATGCTGACTTCCAAAGTACTGACTGTGAAATTTTAGAAGTCTTACCTTTAGTTGATTAAGTACTAATAGCCAAATAGTGTTTGGATCAAAACTTTACATGCTACATCACACATCACTACTTGTAACACATTATACTAGTTTTTGGAAAAGCTGACCATTTCAGGATTTGTCTGTGATCACTCAACTTGTGTAAAGTGAGTTTTCTTTCATAAAGAGTATACTGAGCCTTTGAAATCTCTGTTACTCATATTTCTTACTGGCACAAATGTGAATGTGGTTTTGTTCTTTCTGAAGTGAGGTGGTTTTGGTAGCAAAACAAGATTTGTCACTGCAAAATGTTGTAACTATGTTTACATGTGATCAAAGAATGGAATTTACCCAGGTTAGTTTGCTTAGAAGCTGCCAGTCAGCCATTACATGGGAAAAAGGTTTCATTCTTGCTGATACAGCTGCAAAATGGATTTTTGCAAAACATCTTGCCTTTAATAAAGCTTTGAAATATCCAGCTACCCCAGGTGTTACCTTAAATAGTCTGTTGGAGAGTTGCAGTTTATAAGTCCCAGGTTGAACTCTTAAAAGCTAAGGCATTATAGCATTAATGTGTTTGATGGAACTTCAGTTCTGCCCGTTATGTGAGCAGTTTCCAAACTGACTCTGAGTGAGCAATTGCCTAAATTATTTTCAGTTTGTCATCAGCAACTTTAGATGCACAATAATAGTATCATGTGCTTGAGTTTAAAGGAATAAATAATTTTTGAAGGGAATTTCGCCCTTTATTCTTTCTCACAAAAGAGAAGATACGTTGCTGCTACTATTTGTGATTGCACACTAGAGATATGCCCCATAGCTCTGCAGTTTGAATGCTTGGGACACATATAGGCACTGTTAGATGTGTTTCTGGTAGGGATAAGTAATTCCATTATGGAAGCCAAAAGTAGAAGTTTATCTGGAATAATAGTGTTCAAGAAAACCGCCTGAGGCTGGAACTAATGATAAGAAGAGACACTAGGAAGATGAAAGATAGGTCATGATCTTTTTCTCACATGTAACAGGATAAAAAATATGTTTAATTTAGCAAAATGGAGACTTGTAATATAATTACTCTTCAAATGTTTTGAGGTCTGTTATTGACGAGAGAAGGAAAGTTATCGATACCGCAGGAGAGCACTATAACAAGAATAGGTGGATTTGTTGTCTTTCAGAGCTTTTAACTGTTTTCTTCAAGGTTCCTGGGTGCCTTAATGATCTGTGTGTGCTTACATGGTGCAGCAGCCAAACCTGTAACACAGCATGCTGAAAGATGTGCTCTGGAAGCACGCAGTGGAAGCCAGTGATTGGCCCTGAGTTGCCTAAAGAAACCCTGCAGTTGGTCCAAGGTGACCTTGGGCAGTCACTGGATTCTCAGTATTGTGCTGTTTTTTATATATCCTCATTTTTGCATCTAATGCGTAGACCATAGGCTACATGCTTATGAAATGAACCTGCAGAACTAAGATGATTAGTGACTTGAGCATTATGCTCATGGAAGTGGCTAAACTGCTTTGGGATCTGGTATCATCTGGTCAGATTCTTTGCATATGTGATGGTCCAGGTGATCTGGTAAACCTACTAGACTTAAATTGTCTGTTGCTGGAGCCAGCTCTTGGGTGTACCATGTTTAACCTGCAGAACTAGGGTGATACTGAATGCTTGAATGGGCACTCTAATGAAGTCACAAGAAGGAGGAAAACTTGCCACCTCTTTTTTTTCAGAGCAGTGTAAAAATGGTGCAGTTGTAATCAAATTCAAAGTTCACCTTTAATTCAGGGTGTTTGTAGAGTCTGTAATATTACAGAGAGGATCATGTAGGTATCACAAAAGCCATCAGTACAGGATTGGTGTTCGCAAAACCCACTGATGTGCCACATCCTTGTGTGCCACTTAATTGTGGAAGTGTGCCAATTTTTGTAAACTTCTTGTATTGGTAACAGCATTTGCTTGTATGTGGGAACACTCCTTTGCATATTGGAACTGGGTAGCACAAGTCTTGCTAATCTTGTTCTTTGCTCCTTATAGACAATGAATGATTTTGACTATTTAAAGCTACTGGGCAAAGGCACATTTGGCAAAGTTATCCTGGTCCGAGAGAAGGCTAGTGGGAAATACTATGCTATGAAGATTTTGAAAAAAGAAGTCATCATTGCAAAGGTAAGGATGGTTACAGTTTTAATATTTAATATTTTTTAATGGAATAATCAATATCTAATACATAAGGTATATCATTTTTTTAAATGGTAACTGACTTTGATAGAAATATTTGTGTATCTTCAAAAAACAAGAGTTCCAAAAAAGTATGTGTACACATTCTGCATGCCTTCTTCCAGTTTCTTATAATCTAGAGTGTGCTAAAGCATTGAGAGAGTTCACTGGGCAGGAAGATAGTGCAATCCAGGTTTGAAACAAGAAGAAGTGCATTGTAAGGTATATTACATAATTTAAATTTTTTCTAAGTCAACTTCAGATTTATTGAGATAAATGCAATAAATCTAATGGACTTGTACTCTGTTATTGCAATGTTGGATGAAATGACTGCAGATTTCTTCAGCTTTTGAGGAAAAAGGAAATTGTATAGCTGATGTCTGAAAGAAGTGGTTTAAGCATGCATTGTCCAGTCATTTAAACTTGATAGTTTAGTGCTACTAACTCTTGTGCTTGGTCATAATTTTCCTAAGTTTAAACTGGAAGATCATCTGCTCTGAACTTTGTTTCTAGCAGTTCGAAAGTTTTGAATCCCTCTTGCACAGAACAAGTTTGAGAGCAAGAAACTTGCATGCTGTTATTACTGTGAGACACAATTAAAAATAATCCCTATTACTAAGTAAGGAGTTTTTTGAGGGATGTGGATCTTACTGAGATTTCTGAATCCTTGAGGTTAACAATATCAGTATTTGTAAAAACTTAATGTAGATGGGAATTACTATGGTTTACATGTATTTTATTTTAAAATATTCTTCAGATTGTTCTGATTTTCTTGTTGGCCTATGAAAAAAGTGCTTACAAAGTTTTGCAATCACTCACTTTTGAGTAACTTTTTAATGTGTTGGTCAGTTTCAATTACATTTGATAAAGGAGTAGAAATCTCAAAGACAATTATATTTCCTTGAGTTTCATTAAAACCAGCCCTGGTGTAGGGAGAGAGACTTAAATTTATGTCTTCAGCGGAGAAGACACCAACCTGTGAGTTCTGCATGCCTTTAGCAGCTGTCTTGTATGCATTGGCAGGCTGGTTGGCATATATACAATTTGGACGACCAGAAACAGAGTGTGCCCTTTTCTTCTTCATAATTGTGAGATACAGAAAGAAAAGAGGGTATCACTGCTGCGTTCTCCTGATTCTGCATGAGAAGGAGCATCTCAGTGGCCCTCCTTGTAAGACTTTCTAAAGGGCAGCAATCTTTGTGGGTTGCCTTGTGGGTCTCAGAGTCTATCTGGTTGCTGCATGCTGTGGCCCAGCCTGACATCCTTCCCCTGTGCTCTGCTCACCCGTGGACCCTGAGGGGCCTCAGGGGAATCTTATGTCTGACTGCTATGAACTCCTGTTCTGCTGCTGCTTGTTTATATTCTCCCAGCCTCCAGAGTAATTTAGCATGTTTTCTTTGTATCAATAAAATCCACATTTTTTGATTTTAGGGTTTTATCCTTTTACTTTGCTGGCTGCTACAATGTCACTTAATTTTTAAAAGGATTAAAACTGATTATCAGATAACATTGCTATCTGCTCTGTTAAGCAAAAATTCTTGTTCACAGAAATATGCATAAAGCCAGAGAAATTTTGAAGAGATAGGGATGCAACTGTTCGTTGATCTGCTTATCTGAAGATGGAAAGCTAGCTCAGTGATGGGTTGGGCAGAACCCAGTACTCCCTGAAGTGCACCGGGGTCTGTTTTTCTGACTAGTTGTAGACTAACGAGAGTATGAAATGTGTGAAGAAACATGCCTTTCATCCTGTGATGATAATGGAAACACCTCCCTCTGACTTCCTCAGTTGAAATTTTGTCCTTCTAAGTTTTCCATAGTGTGGTTGTATATTGGTAAGAAACTGATGGAAGAATAACAAACTATGCTTAGATCTTCACAAGTGAAGTGATCATTGTTTTTTTCCTTGTAATCACCAAATACCAGTTTTTCCATGCCACCTCAAACTAAAAAGCGGACTTGAGTCTGAACTTAGCCATCTTGCCCAGTGTATAAGCATGCCGGGAGGACTTATCAATAACATTTAACCCTGAACATCATTGCTAAGGTTACATTCACTTGGTATAACAGATCTGCAGTCCCAACTCAGCCTATAATGTGATAAAATATACACTATAGAAGGTCATACCTGCAAACAGCATAATAGGAAGCAGAAAAGTGGTGCATTGACAGCTGTATCTAGAAGGCTGCATAGCATCTGCCGAGTTCAGACTAAATCTGTTGATCCTAAATTTTCATGACAGATTGATATGACACTTACCAGGGAAATGCTACCAGTATTACGAACTTCTGAGGTAATGCCTCAGAAAAACTGGCCATTGCAAGATTTAATGCCCCCATCTGAGGAACCACTGAGGTTTAGAAAGAAAGAGAGAAAGAAAAAGAGAGAGAGAGAGAGAGAGAAGTCAGTCTTGTTCCTCTCTCTGTGAAGTATTTTTTGTTTTTCCACCAGTGTGTGGTTGTAGTGTATACACTCAGTGTTGCACTGCTGTTCAGCTAAATGGCATCATAATTTATTTCCACTAACTGTTGATGTTGTTTAACTTCCTATTTTGACAATGTTTGAAGTCTAATTTAAAACTCCTGAGATCTGTGTTTCCTTTCTAGTTTAATAATACCTGTTCCTCAGAACATAGTCTGATGAGTGTGTGCAGTATAATAATGTTACCTTGGTATTATTTGCAGCAACACTAAAGTATAGGCTGACTAAAGACATTTACTTCTGCAGTATTATGGTTGAAGTTTGAGTCACACTAAATTGATCTTTAATTCTGTATAATATAATACTTAGCAGCAGTTTAGTGCCAGAGAAAATGGCTAAATCAGCCCAGTGGCTCTCCAGCTTTTTAAGTCCTGTCTCTGCCATCCTGGGGATAGGGGGATTCCTGGAGCATATCACACATCGAATTGCATAAAATGGTTGTGCATACATATTTACAAACCTTCTTTTCTCTCTCTTATTCTTTTTCTCTCTCCCTCTCTCTCTTTGCCTCTC